TCTCACTGCTTCTGATTCCATTAGAAGGTCCAGAAGCAATAACTAGAAAGCCTTTTAGGGTGCCAGGCTACCTTCTCTTTCAACCAGGTGAAAGCCCTGCACACCCCACCCATACAATGGTTTGGTGTGGTTTAGTTTTCTTAAGTGCTGAAAGTCTTGTTTGTTTTTGTTTTACAGAACTGAAACTTTCAAAATGGTTTAGTATGAGATAGAAAGCTTAAAATCCTTGCAAAAAGCTTTAATAATATATTGATATATTCATATAAATAATTACTTAGTAAAAAAGTGGCTGAGCATGCTGAAGGCTCCACCACACAAGGCAGACAGACACTCAGCAAACACAGGCAGCGGACTAGGTAAGCCGGATCTGTACGCAGTCAAGAATTCTGGCAGACAGTTAGGACACACACACACACACACACACACACACACACATGCATCTTGTAGCCTATTCAGAAACAGGACTTCCTTCTTCATAGGGCCCCTTCAACATGAAAGTTGATTCAGTTTAGCTCCCCTTGGCACTGATACACCAATTTAGGGTCGTCTTCAAAGTCCTCCACAGAGGCAGAAAGTGCTGTGCAGGGCCAGGGTGTCTGCGGGTGGCATTGCATGGCTTCGGTTTTGAATACAACTGAGTGGGTCAGACAGGAAGCATGGGTTGAATGGATTTGGGCTGCCTGTTGAAAGGAAACAGGGGTTATTCCTCTGGTCTTGAGTGGATTTAGGGAGGATCAGTACTCAGGGAGTTAGCATGGCCCTAAAATACTAGGGAGTTTGTGGTGGAACTGTGGGTGATGTATTGGGAAGTAGGTGCTGGGAGGCAGGGAGCCTACAGATAGCCAGTGTTTATCCAGAGCTCACACTGCACGGCATAGCACACTCTCCTGGTCTTTAAGAACCTGGCAGACACAGTCCCTTGAGTTCTTGGGCAATTGGGGTGCCTGATGAGTTACACAGGAACACTTGACGTGACCTTGGAGTTTAACAGAACACAGACTGCAGGAGGGAAGAAGAAGAAGGTGACTGTCTGCCCCTCCAGTCCTCGTCTCTGGGATGGAGACACTTCCTGTCTGCCCTCCTTGTAGCCTGTGTGATGAGGGTGCAGAGCGGCTCTGCTGCCTGCTCTTTGCATACACCAGGTGAGGGAGCCTCGATTCCTTGTGACCAACACCTTCTGCCTACATCTGGGTCTCCTTGGTAGTACTTTTGTCCCCGAAGGGTATAAATCACCTGTGGTTTCGCCTGCTCCACCAGCCCCCTTCACATCCTACGAAAGGGATCGCAGACTCTCGTCTTTTTCTGCCTTGTCGACGAACTCTCCCTTGTCTTTTCCTTTGTCGTCATTGTTGTTTGTTCTTTCTCGTGGAGGCTAAGCTGTTCCCCCAGCTGCCAAATTTTGATCCTTCCCTGTTTTAACCAAATCCTAGATGGGGGAGGAAATGCTAGGATGCCAAAAATAATATGCTAAGCATTAGGAGATTGATAACAGTTCCTAAGAGCCAGGCAGCCTGGGAGGGGCTGACCATTAGCTTGTGCCCAGTGGCGAACTCCTTCTAGAAGGGTAGCTTTCAGGGCTTGCTTTGGTTTGAGCTGTCCCCAGGGACTCCGCGGAGAAGCAGGGCACAACTAGGAAGGAGCTAACCTTGAGGTGTGTGCTGACCAAGACAGACTGCTCTCTAGCAGCTGGTTAGACTGGGTGGGGTATATGCAGCTGCCTTGGAGCTCCTGTTGCAAGTAGGCTCTCCCTCAAAGGGAGCTTAATAGTTTTCTTGTAGTCTAGCTCTTTGGGGACTACCTATCTGCTTGAGAGTCGTAGGACAGACTAAGATTGGATGGCTTTCACAAAGAGGGTCGATGAGCTTTCTCTGCACAGGTGGGCTATGGGGGCAGCACCGGGAGGAACACACCTGTGCTACCTGTTAATTTGAGGGTTACCTGCCACAATGATGCTTATTTAACAAGGCTGGAAAAAAATTTACCTCTTCTTTTCAGCTTTTTGCTTGTGGCATTTCCTTCTGTGGTTTGTATTGAATCAGGCGGGGTTGTATAACTCTAATGTGTGTGGTTTGAAACAATACAGTTGTATATTTGAGGGACTGAAAGTAAGACTGGCCAGAAAAGAATGATTATAATACTTGAAAATTTTAAGGTCAGTGGGAACTGTACTACATTCCACTCATTCCTGCATTCCGAGTCTTCTTATGTGCAGTCTTCGGGCAATAAATCCCAGGAACACCATGACCAGACAGTGCACTCAAGTCTAAGGTCGGCCCTTGCCATTCCCTGGAGAGAAGCCAGCTGCTACAGGGCACACCAAAGACCTGAACGCAGAAAACTTGAACGACAACTCCTAGGCTGACGGGGGACCAAGCAGGAAAATATCTTCAGCAGGTTCAAAGGTGAGTCACTGAGGCTCACATGGATGAAAGCGTTCGTCCATTCAGATCAGCCTACAGACACCCCACACCTCCTCTTTCTCCTACTCCATGTGCCCCATAAGGGATATTTACAGAACCGGTTTACCCCCCCCCCCCCAAGTCACATTATCCAAAACCATATTTTCTTCAAAGATGGCTCTAAAATTAAAGCATATGAAAGCCTTTTGCTAAAATAATGTGGATGCCAATAGCAAAAGATAGATAATGGTCCTTTACTCAGGACCAGAGGAATAAACCCAGCTGATTTTCCTTCCTACCTCTTGTAGGAGAAGGATCCATTTAACCAACAGTAGAAACTACTTTTGTTTGTTTGTTTGTTTTAGAGACAGGGTATCTCCTGCAGTCCCAACCACCCTGGAATTCACTCTATAGACAAGGCTGACCTCGAACCCACAGAGATCCGCCTGACTCTGGCCCCTGAGTGCTGGGATTAAAGGCATGTGCCACCACCACCTGGCTGTAGAAACTTTTAATATGAAATATGTTTGATAAATCTGTCATAATCAAACAAGTAAGCTTGTGACACCAACAGCGTCCACACTGCTCTAGGCTGCTCAATCACAACCGCAATTGCTAATGAACTGCCAGGCATTATTACTGCTTTTATATTAAGGGAATAACACTTTTACATCACAGCGTATATTCTTCACCTAATTATAAAGCCTTCAAACGAATGGGCAATGAATAATTTGAATTTTCTAAGGGAAGGAAAGAACCAGACAATTTTAAGTCATAGAACCAGACATACTCTTTCTGCTTCAGAACATATCTCTATGCATCTGCATTTCTACACACAAGTATCTGTCTATCTGTCTTATCATTGTTGCTATTTTTTTAATGCATGTTTTTCCTCTGCCTTTTTCCATGCTAGAGATGAAAGGTTCTCTAATCCTGAGCCATGCACCAGTCCTCTTTTCATTTTTAAAATTGTGAGCCAGGTTTTTCATTTCAGTTGCCCAAGCTGACTTTGAATTCACTCAATAATCTGAGCAGTGCTTAAATTTGTGATCTCCTACCTCAGGCCCTGGCGTAGGGAAGGACAAGCTACAGACTTACTTTAAACTAACTTGGATTTCAGTGGCAATTTTGTTGACTGCATTTTGGGTGGTTAAAAATAATGTACTATTGTGAGTATTAAGATGTCTTTGGGATTGATAACAATAATATGTAAATTATAAATGACTAACATAATCGATACTGAAAAATATTTTCTTAGAACTTACATGTCATGCAAATAGCCAGATATAACTTAAAACTCCTAACAAATGTCTTTATACCAGCTGGAGAGATAAGTCAGTGGTGAAGACTAAGTTCTGTTGTTACACAGGCTTGATGGCCAACAGGTGACTCAAAGCAACCTATAACTCCAGTTCCGGAAGATCCAATGCTTTCTGGCCTTTGCTGTCATCTGCAAGCCCAAGGCAGATGGGCTCATGCAGGCACAGGCACCCACAGAAATAAAATAAATAACAACAACACTAACAAATCTTAAAATAATTGTTATTTTACTGAAGTATAGTGATTTTAATATGTTCTTAATAGAACAGTGTTCTCAGGCCATAGTTATAATCAAAGGCTATTGATCTCCCCAGACCCTAATCTCAAAAAATGAGCACTATGTTGAATTCCCTTCATTGATCCACAGAGAAGCACAACCACCCCGATCCAACACAGTGGGATGCTCATCGGTCCTGTGAGACTTGTCCTGCCAGGGTTGGCCACTCTAGAACACAATGTAGACGTGGCAAATAAAACAAAACTTCTTAATCAAGAAATGCTAAAGTAGAGCAAGAAAATGTATGGAGAATATTTTTTCTTTGAAAAATATTTCAAACTGAAATATAAAATGCTACTGGATTTTAGACAAAACGGAAATTTAGAATAAATAAACCAAGCAGCTGTTAGTCATTTATTCCAGATTTTATAGATTTTATGTGACTCTCTCTGAATTATTTTCATTTTTCTTTTTAACCTCTGAAAGCCTAAAGAAGCAAGCTTTTTAAATGGGCCCGGGACTTACCAGCAATCTGAAAACATGAGCCTAAAGGTATATTGGTTAAAATTAAAAATATTCGAACCTATCACAAAATAATAAAGGTATCGATGAGTCACTTCACTAAAAAGGAGAGCCTTGCTCCAGTGAGAACTGTCGGTCTTTGAAACCTGCTCGTCCCAGCGAGGCAGACCTGGCGGGGCCTGCACAGTGAGCACAGTGCAGAATAACAGATAGCAATGACTAGTATTTAACGCTTTGGAGGAGTTTCTCAGATTAACTTGGTTATCAGTGTCCACCTGCAATAATTATGCTATGCTCCACTTCCCACAACAAAGTTGGGGTAAAGCACATTGCAGTGATGGGACAGCCACTCTGCCCGTTAAACATGGAGAATCTACTGTGCATCCAGCCGACAGACAACTGGGCCACTCGTGTGTTGGACACATCGTCAATCAGCGTTTGCCCTGCGTGGTTAACATTTTTCTACTACCACTCGAATGAATAGTAGCCTCTTCATGTGATTTATTTAAGTAAGTAAAAGAGTGTGGCCAATTCAGGATTACCTCACATTTATTTAGCAGCCCGGTTTCTTGCAGCCGTGACCAGATGCTCTGTATCCGCCCAGCGTGCTCGGGGTGGGTGGTGGAATTGCCACAGATGCACTGGTGTTTCAGCATCAGAGGGTCGTAGGCAATCCCTGTGAGACAGAGAAGACACAGGCAAAGGTTGAGGGCTGCAGGCCTTGCTATGCATTATAAGATAAAACAATTAGCCTGAAGCCATTCTCAAGGCTGAGTCAGCTCTTTAGCTTCCTGTGTCTGAAAACCTGTGCAAAAACACACACCATGGATGAACCAGTGCTCAAATCTTAGCTCAATACATATGTAAAGTGCTATATAAATGTATATATTTGTATATATGTATGTATATGCACACATAGAGTAACATTCATATAATGCAGTCTTATTATATTCTGTCAAGGACTCTGCTTCAGACTCACAGGAATGACAACGTTTTCCCCAAATCAGGCTCAGAAGGACAGCAAAACCTTCTGGTCTAAATATGTATGTTACAAAAGATTTGCCTGTAGCTAAAACCAGTTTGTACAGACACTATCAACCACAGCCTCCTCTTCCAGTGCAGACTGCAACCTAAAACTTGGGGAATTTTTCATGGCCTGACAAGAGGCTTTTCTATCATGTCCCCCATAATATTTTAGTCAGTAATGCCAGTGGGGAGCGGCTGAATTAGCAAGTGAATGCATGTCATTGACAAGAGAACAGTCATGTCAAGCGTTGGCCTTCAGCTGAAACCAGTGTGTGTAGACAGTGCCAGGGCGGCTTTCTCACCCTGGATGTGACTCTGTCTGCAGAAACTATCAACACTACTCCCTCCAGGATGACTGCAACCCGGGATTGCTCTGCTAAGAGACCTTCTTTCTAAACTGGCTAGCCACCTCCTCATTCAGCTGTATACAGTAAACCCACTTCCCATTCAGCTGTATACAATAAGCCCACTTCCTGTTTAGCTGTATACAGTGAACCCACCTCCTCATTCGGTGCTGTATCCCAAATATGCTGAGTCTCTGGGCTGCTGGTGCATTTCCATCAGAGCTCACAGCCCACCCAATCCCAGTTTATCTATAAGGGGGTCTGTGTATTTGTCCTTTCTTCATGCCCTCATAGACCCTGTCAGGTCAAGTCCAAAGATGTGCAGGTCAAATCAAGTCCAAAGCCATGCAATGCCAATTGTAGACATTATGATACTGGGAAGCTCTTGTCGGGTTTCTTTCAAAAATGGGTATCAAATATAATGCCCTCACTATAGATTTCATAGATAACAAAACAGCATCAGAATTTAGTACATGTGATGTTTTAGTTATATCTAATGATGAAAAATATGTTGATAAAAAGTTATTAGTGAAACATAATATGGGACTTTGGTTGGACAAAAGATAATGTCGTTTACAAAACTATCTCTTTTATAAGAAATTATTTAACTGATCAAATATCTTCTGATCAATGGCAGCTGAAGTACATTCAGAGTGATGGGTGGATCAAGTACCTTAGATGAGAAGTTAAAGAACAATAATAAACACTCTTCAGTAACTTACAAATGCCAGCCTTTGATTTGGTATCATAAAGTTGACTTAAACAAATTTTATTTTCCCTTTGACCTACATTATTATATTAGAGAGATGTTACTGAAGATGGTCAGGCCTTTTCCCTTGAGTGTACTAAAATCATGCAGAAGAATGACATCTGCATTTTCAAACCATGTGGTAAAAATTATGCCTGTCAGAAAATATTGTTTTACTGTTCCAGATAATATCCATTCTTAAGACTCACTGGCTTCAAAACCCACTGCCTGTCCCTGATCTCCTGGAACATTTCTCAGCCGGGACCTCTCTTCCTAGCTGCCGATGCACACACTGGCCATCTGGATGCCCACATCTCCCCTTGATGGCCTCATTGCTTTCCTCAATGCTAATGCTTCTGATTTTCAGTTCTTGGTCTTAAACCACACTCTGCGCTCTTCATTTTTACAAGGGACTTAAAGATCCTTTATTGCTCACACCAGAAACCTTGCTGTCCTCTTGATATTTCCTCGTGTCTGTTTTCCCTCTCAAACAGATCTAGAATCACTCACTTCTTATCTCCTTGACTCAAACCATACATAATCCAAAGCACCAGCCCTTCTAATCTGTACTCCTGAGATAACTGGGAACTGGCTACTTGACTTTCCTTCATTCCGCTCCACGGTAGCTACTTTGCTCAGGGACTTCCCTTCACTGAAGAGAGTGACATTCCATAAATGCAGCAGAGATAAGTCCCTTCCCTCCCCTTACTCTCTGTTCACAGGCCTCTCGTTTCTACTACAAAGGCTTACTTTCCTCTGAAAAGGTCATAACCTGCCAGCTTGAGATCTATCTAGTGCTGTTACATCTATGTAAGTCCTTCCTCGCCCGCCCCGCTCTGCCTCTCAGCTGGCTCCTTCCTCGCCCGCCCCCCTCCGCCTCTCAGCTGGCTCCTTCCTCGCCCGCCCCGCTCCGCCTCTCAGCTCCTTCTACTTCATTCTTCAAGGCTTCAAGGCTCGGTGTTTAAGTCACCCGCCCAGCAAAACACCACCCGAGATCTGTACATCAGATCTCTCCTACCCATGTGTCTGCTTTCTTTATGTTCCGGTGACTCCTTCAGAGCATGGATGAAAATGACATCATGGCCTGTTTTTGTCAATTTTATGTTTTCTTTATTAGACAGTAAGATTTACAGAAGTGCAGACTGTAACTGTGTTCCTTAAAAAAACGTTTGACTTCCCAGTTCTGCAGTCATGCTTGGAATGAGGAAAAACCGCAGGTGAGGGAACCCGAGGAAGGGGTCAGCCTCTCTGTAACACGGCCCTCCTTGATGAGTTCCGCCAGTGGATCTGCTTGGACTCTTGGTGTGTGCACAGCCTTCTTCACTGATACAGTGCCCTTTGCTTCAAACCTGGTGCGGGAGAATTATCTGTATTCTGTCAATCATGTATTTTAATGAAACGCTGATTGGCCAGGCAGGAAGTATAGGCAGGAAAACCAGACAGGAAGTAGAGGTGGGGCGATGAGAACAGGAGAATTCTGGGAAGCAGGAAGCTCTCTCTGCCATTCCTGCCCAGATCACTGAAGAAACAACATGTGAGCTGTCACGCTGAGAAAAGTACTGAGCTGTGCAGCTAACATAGATAAGGATAATGGGGTAACAAAAGTTATAAGAGCTAACAAGTAGCCTGACCTAATGGGCCAATCAGTTTATAATCTTATGGAGTCTTGTGTGTGATTTTCTCTGTTGCTTGCCGGTTGTGGGGTACTGGGAGGGACAGATACCCCAACAAGCCGGCCCATCATGTTACACAAACCCCTGATTTTTCAGTCCAAAAACATTTCTTTTCCCTCATTTTATATTTGCATAAAGCATTTTGCACTTTTTCACTGTTTTCATTTTGCACGGAATCCAACATGAATTAATATTCTTAAATGAAGTAAAAAAGAAGGTGTTAAAAAGGGCAGAAAGGAAGAGAGGTGGGTAGCCAGGAAGGCTAGCATGCAAACCCAAAGTGCACACGTATGTCTGGATCGTCGTCCTTATCAAGTGGTTTATGAGCTGTTCCACATACTTGGAGCTGTCTCATACATTCTCAGCTTCTGTTACACACTATAACAAATGATAAAATAATATGGAAATAAGCGTAATATCTCCCTCACTAAAACAGGTCCATTAAAGAACACAAAGCCTAATTGTTCATGTTACCTAATTGCTTCTACTTTTCTTTACAAATCCAAGCCCAAATAGATAATAAATTTCTCCCTTTTAATATTTTTACAATACACACTGTCAAGACAGCTAAAATGATGAAACAAGCTGTGGCCGCTGCTAAGCCTTGCCCTGTACCTGGGGACTGCAACACAAGGCCAGGAGCTCCTGGAAAGGCATTTGAATTTAAGGGGAGATGAATGAACCCTGGAAGCCCAGCTCTCCACTGCCTCATCTTAATGACTTCTCCTTGAGGTGCTAACAGGTAGACAGAGAGGTGACATCAGCCCAGCCTTCTCAGTCCCTTTCCTCCTCTTTTCTCTTCCCCAGGAACACTGACTCAGAGGGTGGGGAAGCAGCCTGCGCTCCTCGCTGAGAACCACATGGAACTGACCCTTGCTTTACTCTCTGTCCCTGCTGGCTGCCAGCTGTAACACAAGCTCATGCACCCGTCTTTCTCATGAAAAATGATTATGCAAGTCTTAAAAACCATTGCCTGTACTTTAAACCTCAGAAGAAAGCTTTCTACAACACACACCATGCACACACACACACACACACATACATACTCTACACCCTATACTCATACATACTACACACACTCAACACATAGATACATATACTACACACACGTGTACACACACTACACACGTACCACACATACTACACATGCAACACACAGACACCAAATCTGCATATACACTACACACAGCATACATACACACATTATACACATACCACACACACACCTGCACAAACACTACACACGCACCACACATATACACATATTACACGCATACTACATACATACTACATACATATACACACATACACAGACACACATACTACATGCACACACTACACACATACACACATAAACAAACACTACATACACAGACACACACACAATATTCACAGACATACACAGACATAAACACACACATACACAGGCATACATACACAAAAAAACCTCATGCAAATTTTGGATGGTTTTAATAAATTTGCACTGGGTTTTCTGTCGGTTTCAGCTTACTAAATGTGATGATGTATTTGAAGTTGCAAGTGTATTGTCTTCCATGTTCCTGACTATTGCATTGCTAAATGACTTATTAAACCGGTAATCTGTTCATGTCTACAGAGTGGTCTCAATCTAATCAGACTTGGTTTAGTTTAGCTGAGTTTTTAGGGTCAATTAAGGAACTTGAGTTTAGACAAAACTCTTTAGATAAAGAATTCTTTAGATAAAGAATTACCAATGTGATTCCTAATTCCTGGCATTCAGTTTCTTATTTCACTTCTGGTATCTTCCTGGAGAATCGCACCTTCTCAGAACCTCTCTCACTAGCATTAGTAGATAACGTTCATTCAATGTACTCCAGGGCACCACACAGTGTCTCTGCTCAGAAAC